AGCAGGAGTGCAATGTACGTGAGTGAGTAAGACCCAGCAAGGAGGGGAGGGAGGAGAGGGGGGAGGGAGGGGACGAGCCGCCCTGGCAGACGGAGGCAGAGAGCCCCTGGAAGGAGCGTGGGGAGACCGCGAGCGGGCTGAACTCCTGCTAGGAAAACTTAGCGGCTGGGGCGAGCGGCGCCTATGCTCCCCGCGCCCCACACGTGCAACCTCTGGGGCCTGGCCGGGAGCCACGGGGTGCAGCAGCAGGGCACACGCGAGGGTTTCCGCTGCTGAGCGATTCGGGCTGGAGGACTCGGGCTGGAGAGGCGGGCTGCGCTCGCCGTCTTCTGGGTTTTGCAGAGCGGCCACAGCCAGCCAGCCAGCCAAGCCAAGCCAGGGACAGATTTTCTGGAACCGTGGCGAGAATGTGAGTCTCCTGCGTGCGCACCTGGGAATGAGAGGGCGGCGGGAAGCATCTTTGCGCCGTGCTCCTCCGGCTTTTAACCGCCCAGCCTTCCGATGCGGGGATCCCCCCCGAAGTCTCTCCGGGTGCGCACATGTGCGAAGGTGGTCCGGGGGAGAGCTTTGCAACGTGGCCATCACCTCTTCGACGGCGTCGTCGTGAGACCGCGAGCCGGCTGGAGTTGGGCACCTGCCCTGTGGAAAACCCGGCGCAACTAGCCGACTAGCCCCCGCGGTGGTGGGCCGAGAGGGGGCTTTGGGGGCGCGCGCCACTGGTTGCGCTGTGGCAGGTGTGACTCCTGTCTCCCTTTCCTGCATCCCGTGTCCGGCCAGGTCGCTTCCTATGACATTTGGGATTAAAACGTGGGCTTCAGCGAGCTGCCAAGATGCCTTTCCACCCAGTGACCGCCGCCTTGATGTACCGGGGCATTTACACCATTCCAAACATCCTTGCCACGGAGCAGCCCCCCGTCGAAATACCCGAAGACGAGCTGGAAGGTGAGTCGGTTGCGCCAGCCTTACAGAGGGGCTTCTGCTAGCCGCGCCGAAGAGTCCACGGGGGCGAGACGCGCCACGCAGGGGATGGTGCATCGCTCGGTCTGTGGTCCTTCCGTGTGACTCGAAACTGTGTTGCAGGGAGATCTGGGACCGGTTCTGCCCGAGGACTGCAGCAAGCAGGCTCCCCGAAACAGCTGGGGAGACAGCTCTCCCCAAGGGGGCCAGGCTGGCAAGGGCAACAGAAACCTTGGCGTGTGCGGAACTAGAGAAGCGTGGATGGATTGTGTGTGTGAGAGAGAGAGCGAGAGCGAGAGCGAGAGCGAGAGCGAGAGAGGCTGTAACCGTCACTTGAAAGGACACTGGATGGAGCTGTACAAGACGAAGGAAAGAGCGGGGGGCGAAGATGCAGGATGCAGCGGGGCTGCGGGGCAGAAAGGGGGCACCCGGCGAGGGCCATGTCAGGTTCAGGAGCCGAGTGGAAAGTCAGGCAGAAACTACGGCAGCGCCGGGAAAGGGGCCGGGGGCGACGGCGCGAGCGGCAGTCTCTGCCGGGCCGAGGCGCCGGGACGTGGAAGCCCCGTCCGAGGGTCAGTGCGCCCAGCAGGTATCCAGCAGGGAGCTGGGGGCGCGGGCTTCCCTCCGCCTCTGCTTCTGTGGCCATATCTCCGGGAAGAGATTACCTGCAGCCAGGGCACGGAACAGGTAGTGGCGGGGGATGGGCGCTGTGGCTGCTCCTGGAAGCCTTGCGAGGGATGCTCGAGCAGCCCCTCCTCCGAGGCCTCTCCCCGCCACGGTCCCTGCGTGGGGAAAACATCCACTGCAGGTGCCGTCCTGGAGTTGTAACTTGGAAAACACCACGCGCGCCCGCGCGCCCCCTCCGCCTTCGGGCAGCCGTCTCCCTCCTGAAGGCACCTGGTCTCGGATTACCCTAAGTGGCGGCGGGGGGGGGGGCGCCTCTGCATCCCCTACCCCCTGAAACCGTCCCCGGGCCTCCGCGGGTACCAGCGGCTTGACTCAGGACCAGGGCGAGGGGGAAAGGGGGGGCGCCGCTGTGCCTCCCGCTCTGGCCTTTGGGGAGCTGTGTGGCCCGGGGGTGTGCGGAAGGAATCTCTCCTCGGCTCCCCCCC